TCCGCATGTGCTGTGGCCGCTTCGTTGGACCATCGCTCACAGCACATGGATGGTCCCCCTGCTAAAAAGAAAAAAAACAATTCAACGGAATCCCTGTGATTACAAGGGGTACACACACACACACACACACACACTAGCTTCCCCCTTCTGAAATCATCTAGAACTCTATTCTCTATGCAAGGAGCCACAAAACCACCCCTTCCTCACACCTGCAGCGCAGGATGCAAATGGTTGTCCAGCGAGGTAACCTACAAAAAGGAGAGCTTGCTGGACGCAGTTGAGTTGCATTCCCTTTGCCGACCCACAAGAATGCACTGTCAAACACAGTGTGATTGAAATCCAGTTGAAAGTATATGCCCCGCCAAAGAGTTGACAACTCTCTCCAACTGCCCAGCAGGGGAAAGCTTAGCCATCAGCACTGCCCTGCAGATCTTCCACATGAGACCGCCTTGATGACACATGCTTCTTCGATGTTCGAGGCTTCACAACATGCTTCATGTATTCATGTTTATCTGCAAGCGATTGTCACAGCAGTGCTATCCACAACAAGCGCATTTCGATATTCTCGAGCACATATTCAGGAGCCTCCCGACTTGCCTCTGGAATCTAAAACATTGTCTGGAACCTGATCCGCCTGCTCCAAACCAAATGTTGATCCTTTCACTGTTGAAGAAAACGAGTTCGCTCTGTTCCCGCTGGGACCCCAGGCGCTATGCCTCGCAACCAGCTCAAGCCACAGCCTCAACATCCAATGTGAGCATTTCATCACACCACCGCAGCCAGTATCTATATATACATATATAAATTGGATTGACCGTTCCACTCGTATTACATAGAAAGAGCCTATTGCAGCCTTTATGAAACCTGCTTTGAATTCCCGACAGCTTTTGTTCAGAAGGCCAGTCTGAGAGGCGTCCCAAGAAGCGGAAGTCCCTGCCTCGTTCTTCAAGGCATTTGCGCAAGCGTTGGCTCTCAGCAGCCTCACTAGAAGCTTCTTCCTTGCACCTAAGATTTGTCTGCACAGAGTGAAAAATGCCAAGATGGTTGCAGCCCCTGATAGAATCCGCTCGGCTAAAGCCTATAAAACAAGAGGTAGGTAGAGTATAATGCGATACCGCAAGATAAATACGGGGCAGAGTTGTACCTGACTACCCTGCCACAGCTGCAAATTGTATTATCAGGAGCCAGCAAATGCAAGCGAATTTCACACATGGAGCGGCCACGATAAACTAAAAAACAATGACTTTTTCATGACTGTGTCACGCGGTGATGTGAACTTGCCGCAAAACAACAAGGTATTGCTAAAGTTTTCAGGCATTTGGTCTGGTGCAATGGTTCAATGTGGACATGTTTTCTGCATCTGAGATCTGATTGAAGACCTGTAGTAGTAGAGAATCTGGAGCAACATCTCCTATGACTCAGCAAAACATTCATTGCCACAATCTGCGCTCCTACCATGCCTTTCACCATGCCGGTGAGTGGCAAAGGATGCTTCCGTAGGTTCGATTCATAGCTGCGGCATTCATGTTCTTACGCATTGTTAAGAGCATTCTTCGTGGGAGATGTTCTTGGCATGGTCTGTGGCTCGTGTGATTGCCTGTGCCGTGTGCAGGTCGTGCTCCATCGGAAGAAACTCTGCAGTTGAAAGGGCAGAGATGCTCCAGTCGAACGCCCCTTGCGGCAGGTGTTGTTTGCATTGCTTACCTTTGCCAAGATTGGAAAGTTCTTCAGATTGTGATTTGCATGCACGTTTCTGGAGTAAGACTGCAGCTGACTCAGGCTACTCTCCAAGCCTGCTTGCAGTTGCCGAACCTGCAGTCTCAATCTCTCATGCAATGGGAAGAAAAAAGAATCGACAATCTGCCCAACTCCACCTCCTGCAGCTCTTCACACCAGCATCGCTGGGCCAATTCCGCGTCACGGAGCTCCTGGGCCAACTGTGCCTCGGTCACAATGGATTCTTATTGTTTTTCAATCTGAATCAAGGAGCAAGGACGCTACTAGGGGCTCCTGGCCTTACTACTAGGAGCAAGGACTAGGAGCTCCTGGCCTTACAACTAGGAGCAAGGACTAGGGGCTCCTGGCCTTACTACTAGGAGCAAGGACTAGGGGCTCCTGGCCTTACTACTAGGAGCAGGGACGCTACTAGGGGCTCCTGGCCTTACTACTAGGAGCAAGGACGCTACTAGGGGCTCCTGGCCTTACTACTAGGAGCAAGGACTAGGGGCTCCTGGCCTTACTACTAGGAGCAGGACGCTACTAGGGGCTCCTGGCCTTACTACTAGGAGCAAGGACTAGGGGCTCCTGGCCTTACAACTAGGAGCAAGGACGCTACTAGGGGCTCCTGGCCTTACTACTAGGAGCAAGGACTAGGGGCTCCTGGCCTTACTACCAGGAGCAAGGACGCTATTAGGGGCTCCTGGCCTTACTACTAGGAGCAAGGACGCTATTAGGGGCTCCTGGCCTTACTACTAGGAGCAAGAACTAGGGGCTCCTGGCCTTACAACTAGGAGCAAGGACGCTACTAGGGGCTCCTGGCCTTACTACTAGGAGCAAGGACGCTAGCAACCTAATACGATGCAAGCTATATATTTCACTGTATTTCGTTCCGTTGGTCAAGTTGCCATATTTCTGGGCTCCTAGTCCTAGCTTGCTCACCGATTGTCTCCCCCTTGCAAGACCAGCCAGCTCAGGAGAGTGCAGCTTGGGGCGTCGTTGCCACAGCCTGAGCAGGATTGCTGATCTACCAGTCTATGAGGTCACTGCTCTCAGCCAGCCCAACTGGCGAACACTTCAAAGCTAGGTTCGATGCTCTGTTGGCTTCCTGAAGCTCTTGGCGCCTCAACAAATTCACTGATGTGGTCAAGTCGGTTTGGAGGATGATGCCAATCGGCAGTTGCAAGGAACAGCTACGTATATATATATATATATGCGTTGTATATATATATACGTATGTATAGATATATGCATATATATAGTCCGCTTCGGGAAAGCATTTTCTTGATCTCAATATCTTCTTTCGGGCAAATGAATCAAGTGCAATCACCACCAAGATGTGCCATACGTCTGTCCAACTTTTCACACACGGGATGTTTGCAAGGCTATGATTTCTTGGGGTGTCTACCTGTGAAAGTGCAAATGCTTTGGCTTCTAGCCCATGCTGAAGCACACATTGCTTCCGTTAACTCCAAAGAACACAGCCTGAATGCCCACCAAAGGCAATATCCGCTCTCCAAGCAAGGGGGGCATCAGGCTGTGCAGGTGCGACAATTGAACGGCTCAAAAGGACAGGTTGCCAGGCGGTCGCCATTGGTCCAGCCCCTAGTAGCTTCTTGCTCCTAGTAGCGATGCCAGGAGCCCCTAGTAGCGTCCTTGCTCCTACTAAAAGTTCAATTAATGTGAGCCTCAAACTTGGCCTCCTACAGTGACCAGCCTCAAGCGACTTGTCTGAGGCAAAGCCTTCAAATGTCGCCTCTTCGGAAAGCTATCTCCCAGTGCTGGGAAATGGCCCCAAGAGAATGCAAAAGCTTGTGAGGAAGCATCAGCAATTTGGAAACAAGTCTACAACATCTAGAACTCAAACAATACTGCATCACTTTATTGGAATGGCAAAAATGCTCATGCCAACCACATGAAGGCGCCCTTTCTGTGCCTTCAATTGGCACAGGGAGCCACAAGCATAGCTTGCTCAATGCAACAAAGGACAGCGTAAGGTGTCATTTTTGGAGCATTAATAAAACCAAAAAAGGTGTGAATTGGGCAAGCAACGAACTCCAAAATTCCTGGTCGCCAGCGACCTCAAATCAAGAAGAGCTTCCCTACCAAATCTCGTGCACATGGAAAGATGTTGTGACTCTTGCACCATCCTTCCTTGGCAGACTCAAGCATCGAAGAGCTTTCGCTCAAAGCTGTGAAGGCCATGCACTCCTCCTTCCCGCTGTGCAGCGGTCGAACGCAGCTCAAATCGGAGATGCCCTTGCCTGACAGAGCGGAGGGCTCGAGCTGAGGGTCATGCACCTATAGCAAGTCGATAGACATGGTTGTCTAATGTTGTCTATAGTCAATAGTTGCCTATAGACATGGGCTATCTGCATGTGTGCAAAGTTCGTGCATAGGGCCGGACCTTGAAACATGCTCCCCAGCACCGAAAAGCGACTCTGCATTCAATTGCACAAGCTCTAATTTGCTGGACACAACTGTTGCTTTTAGCAACTCTGCAGCAAACATTAAATGTACAACCATTGACAACTGCGCGTCATGAAACTGCTGTGAAGTGTTTTGCGCCCACTTTTCTACGTATCCTTGTGCTGTGAAGTTTTGAAGTTCCTCTTTGTGCGTCTTCGCTCTAAAAGCTCTGCTCACAGCTTCACGTCTTATCATCTTCGTGAGGTGTTGTGGGTGACTCAAATCATGAGTCTTCTGGGCTTCATGTCTCATCTTTTGTCAGTGCAAACATTGATTTTGCACTGACGCAGAACTCCGAACTCATACACCCATTCTCTCTACCGTATCGCACAGGATCCATTGAACTGCCCACCATCATCTGTGCTGCTTGCATTTCTAGTGAGCAAGGGTCACCCCAATGGGGACTGAATTGATGATACAACAGTAGTTCCTGCCAAGGTACTGCAGCATGTCTTGCAACTCCGACACGCTCTTCGCGCCAATGTCCTGGTGGGTGGAGACTATGAGAGTCAATGTTGAAAGCTAGCTTTGAAGAGTTCAATAATGTTTGAAGGAAGGTGTGGGAAATTCGAGTAGGACATGGTGTTTTTGTGGCTTCTGAGATGGACCAAGCGGTGACACAAGCTGTGAATCATGCAGCTCTTGACGAAAGGTCTCCTGCATGCCGTGACGGATGCCCTGTGTCAGGTACCTGGACTGACAAAAAGCAATCAGGCTTTTACGGTACTCTACTTCCAGCTGCAGCAGTTTTTTTGTGAACACCATGTTGAAGTGTTGGGACTCATGTACGTGCTGAGACTCATGGGCACGGAATGTAGCGATGGATGCTGCCCTTGTCCTGCACCGTGCCTGAGACTCCCTGAGCCACCTTGATGGCCGAGGTGGTTCCGAAATATCGATCATCAGAGCCTTTCTTCATGGCATCGATGGAGCCCATGCCACGGTAGCGCTTCAAGCGTTTTCCTTCCTCCAGGAGAAGACTTCGTTGGTGGACACTCAAAAGTGACGTCTCGGAGTTCAATTTGGAGCGACCCACGGACGAACACGTCACCAAAGGCATGTTATTATATGACTATATATATGTACATATATGTGCTATTACTATAACGAATTTGTTTTGTGATCCACAGCAAGCCGCTCCTCAGAGTAGAAGTACTCACCAGGAGTCTCAGAGGTTCCGGCCAACAGGCTGCCACACATGGCTGCACCTGCGCCCAAGCTCAACGCTTTGACGATGTGTCCAGGGCTGCTAATGCCACCATCGGCAAGGATCGGGACACCATAGAGATTCCTGGAAAGGTAGGCCAACATGAAGAACACGTCAAACTCACACTGCAACGAACCGTCAAACCTTGCAGCCTTTGCAATTTCTTGCAAGAAAAGCCCTAAAGGCAGCCCAGCTTCGCAAGCTTTGCAACATTGTAAACAGCAGATGCTTGTGCTCGGCCGCATGCGCACACTTCCTGGCGAAAGAAACACTCACTAGTCACACACGAGATAGTTCGCCACCTACGTGAAGCGTCATCATGCTTTGCCCCAAAAAAGCATTGTGGCTCTTATGGCTCAAGTCTTCGCCTAAAGAATCTGATGGCTCTTGCCTTGGGCATTCAGTTCGGCAAAATGGCAGCGCTCCTGTGTGGTACAAATGGATCCAATGCCCATACCCACGCGCAAGGCATCTGCTCCACACTCAATAAGGTGCTTGGCTTGCTGCTTCGTGACCACATTCCCAGCCACCACTTGAATCTCAGGAAACTCTTTCTTGATCCACCTGGCCAACAAAGACATTTCGATCACGAGGGGCCAAAGAGCCCGGTTCACATGGGCTCTGCAGGAGCTCCGAAAGTACCTCTCTCACATGTCTTTTGCCAGGTACTCTTTTCAACTGAGAGGGGTTAACATGCTAAACATGGCTGCAAGCTGAATCAGAATGCACCTTTCAAAGACGGATAGTTTTGACCCAAATGTACAGCATTCACTTTACCATGGACTCCTGACTCCACTGGCTGAGCCCAGTAAAGCTCTGCCAGGATCACTTGATCATCTCGTGTTGAAAGACGCTGTCTCCCTGACTGCTATCGATGATGATTGCATCCACCCGAGCAGCTGCCAGGGCTCGAACTCGCTCTCTGTCCGCCGGTCTGGTACCAATGGCTGCAGCGACCAGCAGCTCTTTGTTCACAGGATGCTTTGTTGCATTTGGGAACTCAACGTTCTTCCTTGACTGCGAAATCTTCAGTTTCCAAAAAACCGTGCTCTCTCTCTCTCTCTCTCCAACAAACAGGATAAAATCCCCTTTGAAATTCATATGGGTACTTGTAGCCCAAATTCATACTATAGATCGACGCCCCCCATGTGGGGGTTTCTATAAAATCATGCCCCCCAGCTCACGCACACGCTATAGAATCAAAGGCCCTTTGTCGTGAAGTGAAAGCTCACAGAAATTATATATGAACTATTCAACACTAAAGAATCACAACCCCCATCTCACAAACCGAATCCTTACAATATCATATGTTCAAAACACTCTGATTCTATAGTGATCCGATGTGTTTTCGAAGAATGTTTCCGACAACCTCCAGCAACGTCTTTCGGACGATGTGTGATTTCTGCCGATGTCCATTTTTCTTTCCGCTCTGGTCTGCCTGTTCATTTTGTTTGTTGCTTGCTTGTTCATTGCCTCATGAGCCTTGCACGGGAAAGTTGAAAGACCACAAAGTTGGAAAAGAAAACACTTGAAAGAGCACAACTGTTGACGAAACAGAATTGTCCAGCACTGATGATTACCACGCGCTGGCACACTGAACCACACAGAATATTTCACTCAACCTGTGGCAAGAACGGAAAATGCTTTCTGGAAACTCCCTCTATATAATCAAGGTCACTAAACAGCAATGTCATAGATTATCATAGCACTGTTCCTCTATAGAATCATGATCACTCAATGACCATCAACATGTCTGTCACTAAAAAGTCAAAGTCCCCATGTCACCAGTACAAAGCTCACGGAAACATATATCTCAAGTTCTAACGGTCAACTAGGTCAAATTGCACCCTTGTCGGAAATTTCCCTGGTTCCTTTTAGAATCGAGAAACCTGAGTGATTCGATTCTATAGTGCTATAAAACGGTTGCTAGGGAGTACCCAGGTGACCTGATTCCATGGAGTGACTTTTTATGAATTTGGATAAAATCCGTTTCAGTGCTGCGCAAGGCCAAGATTCTTGATGTCAGTACGAGCCACAAGTGCAACGAGCAGGTTGGTGTTGGTGATAATCGGAAGTTTACCCTGCACGTGCAATGCAGCAAAGTGCTTTGAGTAGCTTTTGTGCAACCCAATATCAGCACAAGAAAATAGAAAGAAATCATGTGGCGTCTATTTGGGAAGAATAGAATATTCACAATTTGCAGCGCTTGGGGTGTCATAGCTCGCGCGAAGATCTTCCATCGACAGTATTGATTACCCCTAGATAGCATGCACCTTTGTTGAGAGCATATAGATGGTAAGGAATCCCAGCATACCGCATGGCAACGGCCAACTAAGCACACATTGGCATCGCAGTCCTTCTTGGACTTCTGCAAGGTCTCGTTCGCCTGCTTCAAATCAATGCCCTCCTTCTCAGTGACCAATTGACTGAGGGGTGTCATGATCGCGCTGAGCCTGGTTTTCCTGTCAGTGATGAAGTCCTCAGCTTTGTCCGGAACTGGCCCGTGTTGCTTTGTTGGGAAGACTACAATAAAACAATCGATTTTGTGATGCAACAATAAACAGGCCCGACAGTCCAACCTGTATCAGAAGGCCATGATTCTGTGTCACGCTTTGTAACCAGGCCCAAGAGTGGACGACCCATCTGGCCATTTTCTGTGACTGGGAAACCTGCCAGTCGTTGGCACTGCACTGGAACCTTTGGTGTGTTTTTCACGACTTTCCCAACACATCCCACAAAAAGACTTAGAGAATTTGCATTCCCGCGCTCCAAACTAGAGCGAGTCTACGCAATCCAATTGAAAAATATCCGAATTGGCCGGAATTTAGCCCACTGCCTGTGAAACCCAACTTGCTCTTCAACTGATCAAGCTCCTGCAGCTGCAATACACAATAAACCTCACCATCATCATTAATATATGTTTCAAAATAGAAATATTCGGGCTTGAAACAGCTCTGACATTCAAAGCTCCTCCAAAGTCATGGTTGGAGGCACGCAAACCGGGTCAATGATAAAGCCAGCCTTTGACGCTCGCGACGCTTGCTTGCTAAAAGAGCTTCGCATGTCTTGGCCCAAAAGTGCCTCATGAGCTGCCTTCGTTGCATAGTGAAAAAATAGGTATTGGAACATACTGTACAGTGGGAAAGTGGAAAAATCGAAACTGAAAAGCATCAGCCAGAACTCAAACAGGCTTCGAACCACGAATGACAACAACTGAAGCCCTGAACTCTAAACTTCCGCACCCGGCAAAGGAAGGGACAAAAACGGACTCCGCCTATTCCCACTATAACAAACAGTTGGAATAATGTTGAATCTTAAGTCTTACTGTAGCGTATCTACCGCTCGTCGCCTGACACTCGCAGCTGGTGCCTTGAACTTCTTCACTCGCGCCACTTCATTGGCCTGGGCCTCGATGGAGAGGTTGGTGTGGATGACCCCGAGTCCACCTCCATAAAACCCAAAAGGTTCAGAAGCAGCTGCCAAACAATCCCAGTATCTTTCAGCACAGTTAACATCGCCGGTGAAACGAAGATTGGCCACAGAACACTCCTAGTCCAGCCGAATTATAGGCTCAAGTGTGTTCAAGTCTGTGTGTGTGTGTGTGCTCAGCAGGTTGGCGCAGAAATGATAAGTTGAGAGACTTCTTGTGATAAGGACATTTTGGATTAGCATGCATGCGCATTTTAGAGCCTGCACCGCCTCTTTTAGATACCCGTTTTTGCGGCCGCAGTACACAGCTGAGGTTAGTCTAGCCCATGACGCTGACTATGTGTTTGGTGCTGACGTCGCCTGATGTGCCCATTCAGATATAAAAGTCACAAAAGTCTTTCTATTTGGGCTGATGCTTGTGCAGGGTGCCAGGAGAATCTCCTGCATGCAAGCAGACTGCATATAAGCGTTGGGAGGTGCTAAGGGCAGCTCAGAGTTAAGGATGTTATCACCAAATGAAGACAAGTATGGCAAATGGGGACAAAATTGATTTTTGCAGGCATGTGACAAAATATAAACAAAAACCGATAGACGGATGCAACAGACAAACAGAGGTTGAGACAGATAGGTACATAAATGAATAGTTTGAAGCACGTCCACCCTTGGTCGCAGCCCTGCAGTCAACCTCAAGCACACAAATATGCACACACACTGGATGTTGCAACTGAATGAGGGATGACACACGGTCACCCAGCGAGGGCCCTTGTCCCGGATACTGGGAGCAATCTTTCGAACGCCTCCTGAGGCAGGTGCCCTGATGCTACCTGTCTTTGACCTGTGCATGTCCGCCTCGCCAGCTTTGTCCAAACATTTCGCCAGCTGCGTCTTTGTACGTAAAGATGCATCTGCACTGCAAATGGCAACAGTCGCGACAGTGACATGACGGCGAACCTTCCAATGCCATTGCAATGGCCATGTTGGACTCTGTGACGGTATCCATCGGGCTGGACACGATGGGGGTCTTCAAAGTGATCTTCCGCGAGAAGCCTTAGCTCGGACAGCATAGCGACAGCACAAGACCCTCGCTTGTAGAAAATCCTAGAAAATAGGTCTCGGTCTCTATATGCTGTCTCTATTCTTCTGTGACCAAGATGCGGGTTGTAAGATTCACATCATGGACTCCAAAGTTGATGTGGCCAGGAAGGCAAATCAAATCGTCGTAGGTGTAGCCACTCTTGGTGATCGCAGAGCTAAAGATCTCTTGCGCGGAGAATCCATCCTGTGTGCTGACCCATGCGTGGTGGGATGATTTGCACGGACCCTCTAAGCATGCTTGTACACCATGTACCAAGTTGGACATGCCATTTCACAAAGCCATGTGTTTTCTTTCAGGATGCAAACTCTCTGGCAAAGAAACTGGCTCCCAGGATCTCCTTCAAATCTTCCTCCGTCAGCTTTGATGGATCTTTCTTCAGCTCCTTTCTAGGGGAGCGGCTTCGATCCTGAACAAAGGCAGCGGCAAATCGACAATTAGACATCCATCACCAGCCCACTCCTTAGCATCCTTGCCGTTCATCGCAGCAGATCCGTTGGTGGCCATTGGGAATAAGGTGGGATGCAACACAAAGACGACGTGGTTCTTCGGAAGAAAATGGCGGAGGTGCAAGATTCCAACATCGCTCATCAAACACACTGCATCGTTGATGCAGACATGGCTGACTCAAGCTGGTGGTGATCAAACCGTATTCAGCACAGAGTGTGACTATCAAGAGAAAAAGAAGAACCTATGCTTGCACTCCAAGTCCTGTACGCCCGGATTTCTCGTCTTGCCCGTTTCTGGGACTCAAACAGCAAATCACGCTCAGCTGCAGCCTGATGCAAAAAACATTCAGCATGGAAGTGCTTCCTTCAGCATTGTGGCACATAATCCAACTTAAAAGGTTCTTCTTCACTACTACTGAAACTCAGTCAAGGAATCCATGCACTTCAACGTATGCATCAAAACTCCTGATTCAACACTACCTTCAATACTGCTCCATATCAGATTGCAGGGTGGACAACGATTATATAGTTGCTGCCATTTAGACAGAAATAAAAGGAACACTTAACAATTGATCCTGTTTGACTTGATTGAGAAACTGAAGAATCCACAAAATCACAATCTCTTGAAACACTTCTGTATGTAGTTTGAAAGAAATGCGTTCCTTTAGCAATCCCTCGTCCCTCACCTCTGCAGCTTCCTGTTCACTGAGACATAGCGCCTGCTCGTCAAGTTTCCCAATACGTCCACATGGATGACATGGGTCTGTCTCAAGAATGCGACATATGAGGGCGGTGAATGGGTTACAGTACTTCTTCCTTTTACCACAGGGCTTTGCATGGTCTCACTTGTCATAGAAATCAATATGATATACAAGAACCTTAACATGTCCTTTTTGGTCTGTCAACTCGACTCTACCCCTGCTATGATCAAGTCAGGAGAAACTGTACGAACATGAATCTGACGAATCTGAAGCCTCTGCCAAACGCTGATGGCGAGACTCCTCTCGCTGGGAGCACTCCTACAAGGTGAGTCAATCACCCAACACAAGAACTGTCGGGCTCTGGGTGGGCGACTGTCTTCGACACAACTGTGTGTGTTTGTGTACATGTATATATTATACATACAAATAGAGCAGAATCAGCATGGACGCAATACTCACCACAATGAAGCCATCTTGAACTGGCGTGGAACCAGGAATGCAATCTCTACTACAAAACGACATTGCATCTGTACACCTGATGGAGCACAAGGCAAGCTCTGTTTGTGCACGAAACAGAATCTACTTAGTCACTTGGGTACAGCCTGTGCTCTATTACCCCGTCTCTGTTCGCACCGTGACTAGGTTGAAGCGAGGTTTCGGTGGGCAAGAAGACCCAGGCAAAAACATCACAACCCGCACATTAAAGCTACAGCAACCTGCAGAGCTTGTAGCAAACGAGCACTCCACACAACAGGCAAGGCATGTCTTGCCCGAAAACAAAAGAATACGGTGATCAGTCAACATGTTTATGGAAACCCTCTCCTCGACAGCATCAATCGGGACCTCAGCAATCTAGTGCGGAATGGAAGCAGCTTCATTCGCATTGCAGTTGTCGGTCAATTTGGATTTTGAATCACAGCTTCAGCCTGCAATTAAATTGCCTGTTGGCTCCCTCCAAAACTGAGCAGCCCACTTCAATGAGACGTGCCTGAATGGCTGACAAGCGACCTCGGCATGCTGCAGTCTGCTTGCTAGCTCATGACGTGTTGTTCTTGGTCGATATACTGTATACAAGTTGCACAGTTGCACCAAATTTGGTAAACAGCTCGACCGGCGACTGCTTTCATGTTCGAAACGTCTCACCTCACTGTCCCAGAACACAGCTTCAAACTTAATGTTGGTAGAGCTTTACGAAGGCACAAGTCTCCCATGGCTGGGCTCCTTCACGCTCCAAGTCTGCCGCGAAGGCCTGTTTCAGCCAGAAAAGAGCAGCCAAAGTTGACACCACACCCATAGACCTCCATAGATTTGTTTTGTTATACAAAGCTTAGAAGTCGAGCTGTCCCTGCTGTCCCTCCAACTTCTCCAATTCTTCGCCTTCTGCTGGGCCAGCAGGAGCCTGGCCGAGCCTCAGGACATGACTTCAGTGACTTCAAAAAAGACTTGTTTAAAAGGCAGCTCTGCCCCCCTGCTAATAAAAAATCGCCTCCAACCTAGAAGCGATGGCCTCCAACCGAATAGCCTGGCTTCGCTTTCAGAATTTCAGGTCAGACATTCTCGACACCAGGAGCGCAGCGCAAGGAGGGCAGCGATGGAGCCTGTCAGCGGACATCTCCGCAAGTGCAGGGAGATTGTAATGTACTGCTTGATCTCTTGTGATTTCCAGAGTTAAAGAACAGAAAAACTGCCAGCTGGCTCCAAATATGGACCTTTCGGCCATTGGGACACCAAGTAAGCTACTCTCTGATCTAACTCCAGTCTGCACCCATCTGCCTCATCCATAAGAGCACATGCCACAAACGGCCAAGGTTCTCATCACAAGCAGCCCATGTCAAAACATCTAGCTTGCTGTGGCTTGGTCGTCAGGCAAGAATATAAACTACAATATTTGTTCGTAAAGTAATACAATGTCTCTATCTCACTATCTCACGCCAAGCAAAGCTTCATCAACCTTGCACTTAGCTTCCTCCATTCACAAATCATGACTATCCAAGCTTTGGAGGTGATATGGCTGCGAGGTCGTGAGTCTCTGGCTTGCGCACCAAAACAATTGTTCCCGTTCAACCGAAAAGCATCAACGATGGCAATTTGGAATATTTTCTCATCGCAATTTGCCATCTTTGGGCCTTGACAGTGGTATTTTGTAGATCCACCCTGGCCGTCATGACCCACTTTGACTGATGCGCATGCCTTGCGGGCTTAGCCTCAGCAACTTTTGCTCCAGCGGCTCCATGTCAGGGCAGATATCCTCTGTTGCAATTAAGGCAAATTGCCTTCTGCTTTGTCCATGCTCCACGTCGACATTTTGCCTGTGCGTTGAAAAGTCCCTCACCATGAACAGCATCTGTTCCAACCTCTCTAAGCCTTTGTCCTTTCGAATGTCTGTTACAGCAGTTTCGATTCGTAGCGTGCCATTCTTGTGGAGAGCCGCATGTATTTGTCATCGTCAGCACTCGTGAACCTCATCGATGGCTCATCACCATTCTTGAGCACTTGGTGTTGACCAATCCGCGCTTTGCGTAGCAGCAACCATTGCGGGCCATGGCCCACTCTGAGCATCCATCTTCACCACCTTCACTTGCTCCGGCAAGCACTGGCCAGCTCGAACGCCTCACTCAGCTAGCTGAGATGCAAGTGCTCTGGAAGCTGCTGCAGCATTGTCAGCATCTGTCAGGCAGGCTTTTGCCTCAAGAATCTGTCAAGAACTTGTTTCACTGGAACTTCTTTCATTCCAGGCCTGTGAGAAGGTCGCCACTCGCAAAAAGCTCAAGGTAATCTTGGTCAAGTGTGCAATTCGACACAAATTCCAGAAGCATGTCAAGGTCTTGTCTGTTGGGTCCCCCGAAACATCTCCGGCCATCTGACGTCTTTAACTCTCCGAAACCTCCGAGGGCAGCACGGACGACCGCCCGGCCATGCGCGACAACATGGGTTGCAGCATCGCCCCCATTAAGGCCACGAAGGCCAAGCGGCGCAAGGCACGCTGCAGCCTGGGATCACATCCCATCCACAAAGACAGTCAATAATAAGTAATTTATTCAGAAAAATGCATCTATATGATTATATATATATATATCCCATCTACACCTCATGTTGGACGTTCTTGGACTACAAACCAGATGTGACTAACGGTATCTGTCGCGAGTCCCGTCATTGCTCCAAGACACCGTTGCAAGTGGGCTCCCTGGCTTATACGACCTTGCTGCAATCAATTTTTGCAACTCGTTGTTCCAAACGCTTATATTTGTGGTGGTACAAATCACAAAAACAGTTTGCAGATTGGAATGGTTTGCTTGGCTGAGAACTGTTGGTTCGATAGAACATTCCTCCGCGGCCAAAATAGATGGCCTGCACCATTCGACCCGGCTGATGGCAACCCTATTCATCATTCAATGCACATTGGACCCATTTTCTCAATACCAGGATATTCTGAAGGAGGCACTATGCGCTGTGCCTGGAAGCCAAGGAAGTAGTAGAGCAACCCTTAGGTGGCAGATAGCATGGAACACTGAATACAGCCATCCAAATTGTCTGCACCGGTCTATACTTGCAAATCCAAGCATCCATAGAGGATATTGAGTAGCAAGGCCGCCTTGGGATAGAGCTTCTGGATGCTCAAGCCCAGATGCCTCAGCTTAAGCGTGGCTCGTACTTCGAGGGTTCCGTCGTCAGAAATTGGCCAAAACAAATGTTCCATCTACAATCATATAATCATATGTATATATATATATATTCCACCTATCTCATGTGTCTCAACCTTCTTCTTGGGTGGTGTCATCTTTTTTTGCCTACCTATCCAGTCTCTGCCACGCCACATTGTTTGCGCACCAGCTTCTAGAGATATCTCCACAAAAATGCTGGCGAGCCTAGGCACGTGGCGAGAGTTCTTCCCCCATATTTATGATACGTAACAACTGCTTGTCTGGATGCAAAGAAGGAACAGGATGCAAATCAAGACTTTCCTGGATGTGTTCATCGCCTCAAGGAATTTTCGAGGATCAACTCTTCCAATCCCATAATGGAAACCAAACACAAGGAATCCATTGAATACAAAAAAATGCGTGTATATATATATATAACAAAAGGAACAAAAATGAATGGCCACACATGTGTGGCCGGTGGAGCCGCCACCACTTCTTGAATACCAAGTCTCATGCTCCGCGATCTGCACGGCCTCGAAAGCTCGGATGGCCTCCTGCGTCTGCTCCACATCGGAAGGAGTGGACGGTGCTGGCGATGCCACATGACCCCACGGCTGTCCCTGAGACGCGAAGCACAGCGGAAATAGGAAGTGAGAAGCATCAGACGGAGGGGTCACCGAAGCTTTCAATGGATGGACCAAGCTTGCGGCAAGAAACTTTTTGTCATGTTCAGTGTAAAATGGTCTCAAGCTTCAGCCCCACCTGCAACAAGCTTCCATCGGGCTGCTGCAAGAGGATGGGCCCCTTAGCTCTTTCAACATCCTTTCAGCCCGGAAGTACTTGCTTCTGCATCCGTCTTGAACCGATCCAGCTCGAGTCAATCAGGTTGAATTTCCTTCCAGCTGTGAATCATCAGAAAAGCTGCTTTGCAGCTCTCCGATTGTGTCCTACATTGCAAGCCTGAGGCACGCACAAAGACAGGCTTCATCTGGATCGACACACATTTGCAGTACTCTGATTCAAGAAGCTGGCCCACCCCGATGGTCTTTGCTTTAGGAGCCTTTGCATTTACTCTGTTCATTCTTGGTCCGCCGTCTTTGCCAAGCCTGGTTTCAGGACACAGGTTGGTTGCTTGTCAAACTTCTTACAAGCTATCCTTGGCAATGGCCCTTGAGCTCAGAATGACCATGGTCTTGAGCCAACGTCGGTGGATACACAGCCAATAAAGCCTGCACTGCATAGCACATATGTCCATCAATCGGCCAAGTATCACCCACTGACTCATTTTGCATCCAGGGGTCCACGTTGTCCGTCTACGACCAAGATACGTGCCGCGAGTCACGACACATGCGGTCAAGGCCAGAGACATTCAACTCAATCTTTGACTTATGCCTCGTTGCCAAAAGTCTTTGGGTTAACGGCTAAACTGAGTTAAACTCCTTACTTATAGAATCTAGAATTGTGAGAATTTTGATCTATTAGATATCTTTAGTCTCTTGGATTCTCTGACCTCGACCTGCTCGCCCAGTCATCGCCGTGCATCTCCACGACCATCGCGGCCATCCCCACGACCATCGCGGCCATCACGGCGGCCATCGCCACGGCCACGGCCATCGCGGCTGCGGCTTCGACCACCTGGGCCTGACAGATATATATATATATATCACATAATATATCACATAATATATCATATATATATATATGTGGCTGCATCATGCTGTATCTTTGTGTGACGTAGCTTTGGTGTCTCTGGTAAACTTCTCTTTTCAAGATAGGAATTACTGTAAAAATACCATCACCTCTTCCACGACCATCTCCTTTTCCTCCACCGTGATCCCCACGGCGATGATCTGACAGCTCATGAGCGATGTAGCAACGACAGCACGTTATCTGTTGCCCCTTGCTCGCTGGACTTTGTCAAATTGGAATGCTTGCAGTGTGGAGTGAATCGCTTGAGAGTCTCCCAGCCTTGGTAACCGCCTCGCCGATCGGGCCTTAGGTCGCAAAGGCCTGGCATTATCCATGCATCATCTTCTCATCAAACCGGCTCAGCTAAGGCAGCGGCGGCCTATCCCCTCGGCGATCGTCACGGCCTCCTCCAAACGCAGTAAAACCAAACAAAACCAAACAAATGGGCACGCGGCGCGCATCGACACCGGGAGAAAGCCAGAATACCCCTGAGAAGAGCAAGACTCCACTCAAACCCATTGGGGGGCCATCCCCATTCTAAAGCACACCCGAAATAGTCTTTACACCCTTCCCGCTACAATTCCAACAAATTCATGTTGTCCGCAAAACACAGGTTCGGCACCTGGTCCTCGTCTAGGATCCCTTCGGTCACCGGGTCGGCCACCTGCAGCTGTGACCGTCCCCATGTTCAGATGTTTCGTATCGAGCCGCACTAGCGATGACGCAAATGATCCTTGGATCGAATTGCCAAGATTGGGAATGGTGGTGATGGAGTCACCAAAAGATCCTTAGGGAGGTGATGATACTGATAGCCATGGTTCATCTATTCCCCAAGCCGAACATCCGGCACCGAAGCCCGGCCGGGCCACACTTTGCACCTCCACGGTCACCTCGGTCACCTCGTCTATCATCGAAGCGGCCTCGATACGTTCAAGACAAGTCTAGGCCAGCATTACATCATAGCCTAAAAGCACGTTGTCCCATGTTTTGTCTTCCAAAGTCTTAAAGAACATTTCTTTCCTTACTTTATGTCCTTTTCTATCTCTTCTGTCTTTTCTTCAGACATTTGGACTTTTATGTTCAGCTTCCCTTCTTTTCTTCTGGCAAATCTTCAAGTCTTTCAGCTCGCCCCTTCCCTAACCCTTCAGTCCCTCCCGCTCATCCCGAAGCTCGGCTTCTGACGGTCCTCCCTTCGATCATCTCGCCGGCCGTCACGACCTGAAAACATCGACTGCAAGCAGCTATAGTAGCGTCCGAACGCTCCTAGTAGCGATGCCAGGTGCCCCTAGTAGCGTCCGAACGCTCCTGTAAGGCCAAGAGCCCCGATCGTAGCTTGTTTCTAGCGATTCTCTTGAGCATCTTTCGGGTCAAAGGGGGAGTGTCTCTTGAGCTTGGCTGGGCCAAGGCACTGAACGTCCACTCGAACAAAGCGCCGAAGGAAGATCCGAAAAGACTTCCGAGTCCACCAACCATCTCGAGGGTCACGTCCTCCACGGTCGCGGCCTCGGAGTAACAGAATGTGTGGGCAGCCAAGTCCACCCCCTTCTTTGCAAAAAGCCTTCAAGACCTTTGTATAAACTGATTTTTGTATCTTGCAACACAAATAAACACTCGCGGACTCTAACAATGCGACCTCTGGAATGCTCCATTCAAGAAATGTAAGATCCCGACCATCACGGTCACGATCATCTCTATACCGCCCATCTCTTTCATCTCTATGTCTCCGCTCCTATGCACTTTGCATTCCGAATTCGGTGTGGCGAAAGGCAGGGCAGGTGGTGGGAGTTGGAAGACAAAGCTGTTCAAATTGGATTGCTATGACATGTCTACCAGCAATCTCCCAATGCCCTCCTCGAAGCTCGCATCTCGTTCACGGCCTGCACTCGCTGAAGCTTCGAAAGGAACTACCTTTGAGGTCTGCTCAAAGCAGTTTGTCCGAACAAACCGCGGCCTCTCTCCCCACGCTCTCTATCATCCTTTTCGTCCTGCAACAGGACGCCCTGGCTCGTCTGAACCGTTCTACATCAATCTGTTTGGTCTTGTCTTCTCTGCAAACTTGGCTTTAGTTTGATGCCAATGCTAATTCAAGTCCTCATCTGAGTCCTTTTCTTCTTTGCCTGAGGACGCCAATATGTTCAAAGCGCTTGGTTCACAGTCTGCTGGGTTGGCATCTTCCCATCTTTTACACAAAAGAAAGGTGGCAAGAGGTGATTCGTCAACACAGTTCTCTGCCTAGTTCACGTTCCAGAGCTCCCAGCCTGAAAGACATGACAAACTGCGTCACCAGGATTTGCCAGACTGAAATGTGCGTTGGGTCCTTCCCCGTCTTAAAACAACAACGCATTCGACGGATGTGCTGTAGACTGATCTGGAAAGAAATCGATCCCGCAGAAACTCAGAGAACTATCAAAGAACTATCAAACCCTGTATGAGCTTCACTTGAACATATCAAGCATTCTTCCTCACTCTCGCTCGCGGCTGTGGGCCCCAGCAGCTGCTTGAAGAGACGCTTCGGCGACGGCCTCAGGACCATGAGATGAGATAAAATCCAGTGGGAATCTTAGTCATCGCATGCAAACTGTGCAAGGAAGTGAAGTAAGAATGCTCCTAGTAGCGATGCCAAGAGCCCCTAGTAGCGTCCTTGCTCCTAGTAGTATGGCCAGGAGCCCCTAGCAGCTTCTTGTTCCTAGTAGCTCTTCGAACTTCCTTGATTGTCCTTCTGTTGCTCTTGAGGCTATCTACTGTCATCGAACACCAACACCAGCATCGACAAGCCCTGTCGTGCATTATGTATGCATGCGTACACAGGCGTACACATATGCAGAGCATGCGTCAAGCCATACAAATGCAAAAACCTTATACTTTGCCAACAGAGTCATCCCTGAGTGGAATTTGTGAACCCCAATCTTTCTGGTCTGACATTACGTTTACATAATACCATTGCCGCAACGGGTGCATACAAAGACGGACAATACTGTTTCGCTGGGTGCGTTTTAGCTAGAGTTTAACTTGCCGTGGCAAGGGGATAGTGAGATTTCAAAACATTACGCCAGCGTAGACCCCAGATAGCAATGGAATCATGGTTTTCTCTACCCATGTCAGTCTGAGGCGTCGCCTCTTCTGCGCTCGCGATGCACAACGCTTCTGAAGTTCAATTACATGCCACATGGATGTCTCGCGACAAACATGTGTAACTGCTACACACATGCATCTGTGGAAGTTCCATCTTTGAAAGACTTATATAATAAAAGCAGTGGCACTGTTGGCAATACAGGGATGACAAGAAAACCTCTGCCAGCAAAAGCTCTGCGCACACAACAGTCGCACACAGCAGCGGCACCAGCACCCAAACTCCCACAAGCACACCGCAGCAGCATACAGAAGCGGCACCAGCGCCCAAGCTCCCACACGCACACAGCAGCAGCACACGGCAGCGGCACCAGTGCCCAAGCTCCCACGCGCACACAGCAGCGGCACCAGCGCCGAAGCTCCCACGCGCACACAGCAGGGGCACCCTACAGCACCCAGGCTCGAAAGCGCACACATGCATCTCTTCCTACACTTGAAATAAGAACCCCAATAGCTCACGCTATCTGGGGAAAAACAGCCTCTTTGCATTGGCACAAAACCACTCAACAAACCCGAAGCAGGCGGATGGTCGACTGATCTCACTTGACGCAAAAGCTACTGCAAATGGTGCATACAAGTAGAAAAGGAAACAAGCAAGCAAATAAACAAACATGCACACAAACAAACAAACAAACAAACAAACAAACACACAAACACACAAACACACAAACACACACAAAACAGAAACAAACCAAACCAAACAAAACATCACAAAACAAAAAAGGGAAACAAAACTAAACCGGACCAAAACCAAAACCACACCCCAAGCAAGCAAACAAACAAAGAAACACACAAACAAAAACAAAACAAAACAAACAAACAAACAAACAACAAACACACAGCATAGACTTCTCCAACTGGTAGAGCGAGGCTCAGCAACATTTCTTCTGAGTCTGACACTTCTTCGCTAGATCTGCCAGCTCTTTGTTGTCTGGAAAATGCCTCGTCTGCTATCACAAGACAACACTGGTTCCAATTGAATAAAACAAGACGTAAAGTAAGCCCGGACATACCTGCAAAACTGTGTGCAACGATTTCATTGGCACATCAGGTAATTGAAACCCCCTTCTGACAAGCACAGCTAACCAAATCTCCTTTTGCTCCCTTCACCCACGTAGTTTGTCCGCTCAAACATAGCTCTCTAATCAATTTAAAGCCACCTATCTCTGAAACAGCAGCTGGGCTACCTCTGGACAAAGAAAGAAAGCAGCTCACAAGCATCCTGGGAGCAGCAAGGGGAAACTCTTCACCAGGATGCCATATATTTGTGCAAAACAAGAAGTGCCAAAGACAACATGTTGCACCTGCAGTGCCCGCTGGTCTTCAGTGACAAAGCGAACCAGATTCGGCATCAGCTTTTTCGTGAGCTGCTCCTCCATGCCCATCAGCTCTGATTGACAGAGTGTACAATCATTGCAACGTAATTAATAATATATATATATATACATATAATATGTTTTCTGTCTATATATATATATACAGTATATGTGTGTGTGCACTGTACTTGTGGGATCTTTTCTTTGGGCTGGTGAAACTACAGGTGAACGCTTTTCTCAAGAAAAACCGCCGGACCAAAATCGCATGCCCTGCCAGTCATCCCAGTCGCAGCACCAACTCGCCTGCTCCGACTCACCAGACTTGCTTTGCCTGGCAAAAGCACGTAGTAAGCTAACTAGGCCACTGGAAAATCAACAGGGAGAGGCGTATCTGGTTGCGTATTCTGGTCCAGGTTCAAGTGGACAACACAAAGGTATCTCACTCGTTTTACTCAGGAAACTTCCGATTCCTTCAAGGCCAGGCTTGCGCCTTCGCCGCCTCCGATCGCCTTGAGAGGTTTGGTCATGTTCACTTCTAGAATATGGAGTGTTGGCATCGCAAACGAATGAGAACCTCATACCGGCAAGCTTTCTCTCTGTATAGCTTGTTATAGAACTTCTCCTCGCACATCGACGAATTCGGGCATCCCCGCCATCATCGCTGTCGCCACTATCGCCTTGGGCCCCAGCTTGGGATTTCACACGAAACTTCCGTTGGATATGGTGAGATGCTTCACATTCTTTCCCCTGGAATAAACAAAGACAATCATATAAAACATATCCAAATCTCTCTTTTCACCCTTGGCAAGCCTGTACAGTGGAGCTTGCACGGCCACATTCTTTGGGCCGTATTCAATGTGGTCACTGTAGTGTGACTTGTCAGATTGGGCTATTATATGGGATGCAGGCGGATAGAATCTCAACGTGAACTAGCATCTCCTTCCGACAGCTTCCCAATCAGCTTCTCAAAGACTTCTGGTGCATCCGAGCGGAACCAGCGCTCAGCAGAAGCCTGACGCGGCTAGAAACTTGACATCTTTTGCGTGCTGCCTCCAAGCTGAACTCTGCCAAGTTAGACAAGTTTTCTACCTCTCCAATCTTCGACACCTCGTCCACAGCGTCCGCAATGGTTCCGCCAGCAAGAGGAAGAAGAGGCCTGTCAAATGAGAGGAGCAATCATTCTCAAAATTCCAACTCAGAAGAAAAGCCTGTGCATCTTCATGCGATGCCAATGGTCCTGTGATGTTCAAAAAGCAAATGCAGCAGCAAGCGATAACACACTTCTGCAAAGCAAAGTCTCAAGCTCTTGGCTTCTCCAGGCTCTCCTCTATCGCCGTCTCGCCTACTTCATGCAATAGCTCCTTAAATAGGTCAAAGTCTGCACTATTGTCCTTGGTGCAGTACGGCACTGCGCGTCATGGTGTTTGGGGCGCTTGCCCTAAATCTAAAAAAGCAAACAATGGAAAGCCTGATTGAACTCAAGGACCCGAACGCAAATCAAGTACAATTGAAGATCTCAGACTGCATGACACTCTCGGAGAACGCTCTTGTGCAACACTCTTCTAGGGCACTGCTGTGGAACACTCTTGCATCACACTCTTGTAGGATACTTCGCTTGACACTCTTGTGACTCTCTTTTGCGAGGCTCTTGCTTCACATGTTTGCCAGACACCTTTGCGCGACACTGGGACACTCTTGCATGACACTCTTGTGAAATCCGCTTGACAGTCTTGTAGGACTTCTAAGTAATGTCGCATCCAAATTAGAATAATGGGACGGAATAAAACAAAAAGTTTTCGCCAAATTATGCACACACCCTGATTAGTTTAATGGGACGGAATAATCAAATGTTTTTTCACCCAGGATTTTTTGCTTTTGTTTACTTTTCTATTGTTCTGCTATTGCTCCCACTTTAACATCCTTATTTAACTCTCCTGAGGTTTGCTTGATTCATGGAATTCTGACCTGGAAATCGATGTCAAAACGCTTATTAAAACTCAACGATTTCATTGCTCCAAACAATTCTTCAAGGGAGTAGTACACAAGCACAGGAAAAGTGAATAATATCAATTGTTTAGAGGGTGGGATTAATGAGCCAACTTGGAGCCCTTCGGGATAAACTAACTTTATTACTAAATGTTGTTCTGCTATTGCTACAAATACTACTACTACTACTACTACTGCTACTGCTACTGCTACTGCTACTGCTACTGCTACTGCTACT